GTTAATGTTGTTGCCATCTTGATTATGGTAGATTTGCACAAAATTTGAACAGGCGTTATAGCAGTACAGCTCAGGCAACGACCCAGGGGTATGCTATCTGCTTCAAGGGCCGACCGTTGCCAGCAGTTCTTATACCCTCTGTCTTCCCCTCTATTTCCATGCTGCCGGATAAACCTGTCACGGTCAATCAAGTGATGTACCACGGAGTGGTACCGAGCGAGGGGCAGTTGGAGTGCCTAGCGTCAGTCACCCCGCATCCGACCCGAGTTGCTGGGGGAGATCGGAAGATGACCCCCGAGCCGACCCTTGAGGCAGGGGCTATATTGAGCTCTACTTCACTCGTGCATATGGTGACATAGAATATAGAGAAGAAAAGTTAGCATGGCCCCTGCGCTAAGGATAACTCAATCAAAGAGAAGCACATATTTGTTTTCCTTCGAAGTCGTCTACATTTGAGGTCGGACAGTGTGGGTCATTTAGTTACAATGTGATTGGTCACTGCCCGGCGGGAAGTATATTAGTGGACCCGGGGTCTCCACATATCCATGCAACCATGGAATGCCCCAGCTCTCCCACGATGTTTGTTTTCGGTTTATATACATCCTACCACTAGCCAGAATTGGAGTTGGAATACGATCCATCTGGCTGTTGGCTTCGTGCTTTTCATGCCATGGACCATGAATGGCTGATTTGTATCCGTAAACTTCGTAGAGTAGATATCATGAAAAAAATGAAGGAAAAATGAATTCTGATTTTTGGAGCAGATCAAGGCATCTCTTCCCAGTCCTGTATGAATTGTTGGATCCACTTCCACATTTTGGGAGAAGCGATAAACATATCTTTCCGAAGTCTGAGTAGATCATTGTGCGTATACTGGGTCTTCCATTCTGACACAAGCGTCAGCTTCTTAGCTATTGTGTTTCTGAAGTCCTTTCGAAAGTAATCCTTTTCATCTCTTTCAATCTTCCAAAGCGGACGATCCACCTGTTGATATTCATTGTGAAGCCGGTTGTAGTGAGGTAAACGCCGCTGCCGTAAGAAATATTGCCCTAGGCCCTGTTCAGGACCATATGCAGACTTCCAGACAGTAGCAAAGAGATTGTAATCGCCAATTGAGTCAAGGACGAGGAGTCTATTCAACCTCCACGAGACTTGTCCCCGTTCCAATGTATTATTACATTCGCTGTATGTGCTTGAAAAAATTACGATGTTTAATGATCGAGTAAAATAGCAGCAAAGACGAAAAGGGGAAACAAAGGAAAAAAGCAAATAAATGTTAGTACTACATATGTCCTACAGTTCATATCTAGAAGATAATCTCTATTTGCCCCGAGGTTACTCGTAATAAACAGTGAAGAAAAGGGTACAGGAGTACAAAAGTACTCGCATTTTCTATCAAATCCCCGAGAGAACTCTCTCAATAATTCATATACGAAAGAATCTCACCCCATCTCAGTCTCTCTCAACCTAAAAATGGAGGGTCCAAAATTGGGCTCTACGAAATACACTTGCAACAGTGTTAGCTCTTTAGGAAATCTAAGTACCATCTATACGGGCTTGATTGTCGATGCGGTTCTCGATTCGGCTATTCTGAAGGGGAAACTCACCGAGTTAGTTGGATTATGGCCAATACTTGGCGGTGATCTAATCAAGGATGTGAGTGAGTTTATCTTACCGCTACTACAGCCTGCTCATATCATTTTATAGACAAAGCCATGGTCCTTCACCTGTGGTTCTACTGTCGATTTCGCTAGCAGGGCTATTGATGAATCACTGGCTACCTATCTTCCAATCCACCACGACCAGTATAGCAATGAGCCAAACATCATGAAAAGCCCGGAAATATCTTCAGTTGATGACAAATTCATATTCAATGTCTCTACTAGCCGCACAAACAATTTCCGGCTTCGTGTTACTCTTCTACGAGATGCTACTTTGCTCTGTTTTGGAATAACGCACCATATATGTGACGGCAATGATTGTTGGGAAGTGGTTAAAGCATTTTCTGACCTATTGTCTAATAGGCCAATCCCTTTGTTTGCTCTTCCACCTGATGCCGGGAATGTCCGAATGTCTGATCTGATAAAAGTCAAAACTGAGTGCACCGAAACGGAGTCCAATTTCCACTACCAGACACATGCGCAAAATTATGACAGTGGGATATTTAAACTAGCAATGACTGTTTGGCATGTGCTGCTGACTATCCTTGCTATGAAGTTTGGGCTACTTGAGGAGTTCACAACCAAGTTTATCTACATTCCAGGCGCATGGGTCGACGAATTGCGGATGAAATCACAGACTGAGCTGAAAGATTGTTCCTCCGAGATTCAACTTACACGAAATGATGTTATCGCTGCATGGTATCTTAAATCCGTCTATTCCCCTCAACCTTCAGCTATATCGCCCAATCCAGTGGACTACTTTGGGATTATAAACTTTCGCCGCTTTCTTGAACCCCCGAAGGCCGGGACATACTACATTCGTTGTAGTGTTGGCGCTCTTCGGTGTAAATTCTCTACTCAGCAGCTGAAAAAAGAATCGGTTGCCGAGATTGCACGAGATATACGCCTCGCAACACTGCAATATACATCTCCGATATCTGTCCAGCAGAGCCTTCGATTCTCCGAAGATCACACATCCAAGACTTTCACCTTAGCGCTACGTGGCACTGTAAATCTAGGCTTTGCTGTGGTATCCCACTGGACAACATTCGATTATACGGGCCTTGATTTCTCCGGTGCTAGTCTTCATGGGCAAAGAGCGTCAGTCATATTTGTCAGCCCTATGATTGTAAACACATGGAACATCACAATAGCGCCTGTGGCTGTCGTGACGAAGAATGGGTCTGGGTGCTACTGGATTCGGGCTACGAATACATCAACTGGCTGGGAACGGTTCAGCGAATCCAACAGCATGGAAAGTCTATTTCCTACACGGTGATTGGAGCTCTCGGTTTATGGTTGCAAATTAAATTTCTACTCGTATGTTCTTTCATGGTCCAAAATGTTTCAGATGAGAAAATTGCATTTGTGTAACTCGAGGCAAACAGATCAACCGTGTCGTTGCCTCCGCTCTCTCTTCTATGCTTCATTTCTATCCGTAACAGTTTCTAGAATTATGTATCATTCTCCATACTTCTATTTCTTGCCTAAGGACAGAAGATGAAGATTCATCTATACATGAGTAGCCGGTGAAAGTAAAAATGACAAAAACTCTGTATGGTTTATAGTGAAGAGACACTTGACTCCTATGCGAAATGGAGGATACAGGTCCCACCGACAATACCCGGCCCTTGCCAAGTGACACGACGCGGGTACGAAGCGGGGAATCAGAGTACAGGAGCTGCGCCTAGAAACCAGGTATCTGGTCCTTTGCATCCCTATAGTACTATAATCATTTCTTTCTAGTGTGATATATCTACTTAATTGACCGACTACCAATGTATATGTTCGCAGTATAATTTCAATATAATAGAAACAGACACCTTGTCACCCACGCTGTCTGCCTTCATAACAAGAAGTACAGAAAGCATCGAGATATGCGAGGGAACCATCAGCCTGGTCCATCCGCACACTTTCCACCGTACCTTTAATGTCAAATAAGAATCCATAATGGTAAAAAAGCCCGGCCATTCTCGCAACGCGGGTCAAACGCAAATCAGCATCGGAGAAATCATTAGCTTCTTCTCGAAAGGTTTTCCAGAAGAGGTTCTCGAACTTGCGGTGGTTATCATAGTAGTGCCACCCCGTTGAACCCATCAGGCCCAAAATATTATCAAGCCCGTAAAGCGCGAAACCGAACGGTAGAATTCTAGATTCCGCCCAATCGACAATCCCTGTCATATTTCCAGTTTCTGGATCGATAAGGAGGTTCATCATGTTAAGATCCTGGTGGCTGAGAACAAATGGGAGCGCTCCTGAGAAGAGTAACGGGAGCTCCTTACGAACCATATCTAAGTTCGGTGCAAAGCGGGACGGCAGGTCTTGAGCAAGAAGGTCAAAATTAGACTGAAACTCCTTAAGTAAGATAGCGGTGTCATCTGAGTATGGTCGTCGATCGTTGTTCCACGACTGTGCAAAGAACCTATTCGATAATGTCAGCTTTTGTCAACGAGGCCACAAATTTCCTAGACATACCTAGCAAGGTCTTTGATGGTATTACTTTGTCGGGACATGTCGCCTGGTGGAATGCGCGCTATGATATGAGTGATTCCAGACAGGTTCTCCATCTCGTAGATATGGAGTGGCTGTAAATTGCCGAAGGTCCCGAGATACTTGCAGCTGGCAATGAACTCGGGATGGACTGCCTTGGCAAGACTGATATTACCAATATCAATCGTAGAGTCCTCGCATCGAAACTGGAAGATCCTGGACTTGTCGGGTCCCGCTGTCACTGTATAACTGCACACTCCTTGCATCTGTAAAGGAGTAGAGACACCACCAGCACGAGCGATGGCGAAGTCATCGCATTGCTGTCTCGTTGTAGTGGTACTCGAGCTAAAGAAAGCATTGATTGCGCTCTCAAGGCCGTAAACAACATATTTCGTCATATTGGTGAAGGAGGTTAGGAGGGTCAACGGAACTAGCAGATAATGTACGAAAGAAAAATGAGAACCTTCTAACAATGAGAGCAGATTGTTGGAAGGGCCTCGCTTCGCTCACCGCCATTTGAATATTTTCGAGGAAGAACGCTCAATCGCCCCAAAACGCCCTATCATTTTACGTACAGCGCAGTGGCATATGGAATATCATCAATTGTACGGAGTAGATTACCACCAGACTTCCGGGTTGCATAGGATCCACCTGGGTGGACGACTGCCGGGATCCACTCAAGGTTAACCTTAGAGCGGGGCAGTTTCATACGTAAATCTTTACCAGTGTGCCTTTCATATTACTGCTGCTGCCATCCATATAGATCTACAATTACAGATTGCTTTTAGATGTATTTTCCGGTGATATTTTTTGATACCCTTAGAACAAAGATACATATCTAGAGCCCCATCACTCTCCAGGATAGACTGTGTTACCCTGTCGTCGTATCTCGTCCATGATCTCCATCATATAAATTGTCTCCGCCCACGGCATAGTCCTGCTCTCTTTCCGGCCTTCGAGGATATCAAGTGCCGTATGTTCAGCCTCATAGACAAAGCCACGCCCCAGGGGCGGAAAGTCGTATTTCTTCCCTTGACACTGTTCCCTCGGGAAAAGCGCATGGTCGGGATTCCCTTGAGGCCTCTTCCACACAGTAAAGGATTCCGGCGCAGATGGCATCCTACCCTCGACCTCGACGTACCCATTGGTCCCGTGTATAACCGCAAAGACTTGACCGGGACTTCCGGGGGCTTTGGTGGTTGAAGTAACGATACCCTGCCTTCCAGTCGAGGGATACTGCAAGATGGCACTGGTTGTCTCTTCAATTCCTGCTTCATGGCTCTGCGCGGCCACAATCCGCGGCTTCTCTGACTGATCAGACCCATTTCCAGTCAGTGCCATTCTCGTCCAAGTAAGCGAATACACTCCGATATCTAGCAATGACCCCGCTCCCAAATTCAGGTCGCGATATCGGGATGTGGACGGACGTGTGGCAACATCAATACCCAACGCAAAATCCGCGAACACCCGGAACACATCACCAATGATCTTCTCTTCATGGAGCAAGCGCCGAAGTTCGGTGAAAAGCGGTCGGTGTCGGAGCCACATTGCTTCTGCCACATATACATTCTTCTCACGAGCGGCATTGAATACCTCCTGCGATTGTTTGGCATTCAGTGTGAAAGCTTTTTCGCACAGGATATTCTTCCCTGCGGAAATCGCCGCCATGCAATCCCGATAATGAACCCCATGTGGGGTTCCTATATAAACAATATCAACGTCTGCATCGCGATAGACCTCTTCATAAGAGCTATAGACGCTTGGGCTTTGTTTCGGGCAGTGTTTTTTCGCAAATGCTTGGCCTTTTTCAAGATTGGAACTGCCAATTGCTTGGACAACATGCTCAACTTTCTTTTCTGGCCAGTCGAAAACCAGATCCTCCACAAACCACGATGAGATCAGGCCGGTAGCTTATGGAAAACGTTAGCTTACCACGACACTTAGAGCCATTGGGAATAAATACAGACATACCAATGATACCCCAACGAACCTTGGGTAGGTCAGACATGATGTTTATATCTACCGCGGAAGATTGCAAGAAAGGATGTATATTGTGTTGTGTTATGACTCTTTCAAGCTGGAAACTGGAATTGATTATATAGTATGGGGTTCGTCACCTGATCGTCACCCCTCATTTTACCCGGAATACATATTCCGTTAAATCCGGTAATCCGACGAACCTCCATGTCTCTACTCCGTAATATTGTGCCTCAAGCCTATATATACAGTTCAGACTTCAGACCAGGAAGTAATTGAAATTTATTTTTGGTCTATTTAATACCACTGAGCGGCTCTTGGATCGCGAAATATAGAGAAGAGAAAGGGATGGTGCAGCGAAGCAGTAAACTTACTCATACCAGCTACTAGAGACAGCAAACGATATCTCCTCGCCAGGGAAACAAGGCTCAACCTCAAGCTTAATGGAAAAAGCTCCCTGAAGAATCACCTCGGGTGGTGCATCAAGCATCCACCTCCAGAGATCCTCCAGACCCTCTTGATCACGCTTCTTCGCCTTGGGGTTAACGGCATAGAGCTTATACATATCAAGGCTGTGAGGTTTTCGAACGCACATTACACGGACTGGTGAGGGTGGAATGTCTAAAGCACGCGAGATATTTCCCTGCATTTCAAAACTGTTAGCGAACTGTCTCCACTGTGGCCGCCACATCTCAAATGCATCTGTCCAGTCTGGATCGATACCGCTATCTGCAAGAAGAGCACACATACTCCAGACCAAGTGCGAGGCGCTGCTATACTTCTCGAGGTAACCGACGAGGCCGGGTAGAACCCCGTTTTCTCGGTGCAGCTGGAAACGGAACTGGTTAAGACTTGTTCTAGGTGTAGGGTCCGGGAATAAACAAAGGAGATTTCCTGGGGAAGAGCCGGTACGATTCAATCGACGGATGATCTCTTCCTCGGGTTTGAAGGCTTCCGCTACCTCGAGTGGGAATCTTTGAGGCGGCTGCTTTGGAGTTTTGACGCATTTCCAAAATTTCATGATGTAAGCTGGTATTTCACTGTTTGGTTAGAGAATAATTATCGAGTTGGGTACTCGAAAATAATGCTGATGAGATACCAACTTCGAGGCAAAGAGGGCGATTTATAGTCCGGATAGACTATTCACTCTGGCTCTTTGCATACCAATACTGTATTTGATTTCAAAGACCTCTTTGTTATCTTTGTGTCTATCAGAAATTGAATTCCGATTAGCAGATCACAATACCCTTGTAGAGGAGACTGTTGCCTGCTTCTTTGTTTGTAACGCAGAAGTTGTGAAAATGGGCACGCAAAGAAGCTTTGTATCTCCTACCAGCCTTGTTTATATGCTGGTGGGCTGTAGAAACAGAGAATACTGGTTCTGCTCTGACAGGGACTAGGACTGTAGGGATCCTCGGGTTTTCGATGCTCTTTCTACTTTAACCGACTCAAAGTATAAATACAGAAGGAGGAAACATCCGGCGAGAAGGTGGAAGGTATACATTAGGCATATAACTGACCCTGGGGAAGGTGCGATTGGACCTCTATGTCAAGGCAGGTACTGTCCAAACTAGGAACGCTGCGACTGAATTTTCAGACAGGGGCTGGGCCTATGATAAGAATCAAAGTCTCCAGGGCTGAGAAGGTGAGACCAAGACGGTAAAAATGACCGTAAAGAAATTATACCATCTCAAACCTGCTGTTATTGTCCATGCTATAGGGAGTACGGAGTAATAGAACTGTCATTACCCGGGCTTTGGGGATCTGCAATGGCCGACAGCGTGTTTGCCTAACCAACCAAGCTACCATAGCGCTGTAGTCCTTCAGAAAATAATCAGAAACACCCTAACGCATGCAATCTGCATCTTTGCCTAAGTCCGTATATTTGAGAGAATCCCATGTGGGGCTGCCGTGTAGCCGCCCTGGAGGGCTAATGATGTATATGCTGTATAGGGCGAGGGCATTCCGATAAACTCAACCTACAGTATATAGCTTATCATTCTTAACCAATCACAATCAATTTCTAGCCGCCGTAGGAAGCGGATACGAGTATACGGGGAGAGAAGGATTTACGATACCCCGAAGGGCATAGACCCCCAGTCGCAGGTGAACACCACCCAGTTCGAGATGGTCAGACATCTACCCCTCAACCTAATCTCTAATCGCCCATCTATCACTTGACATATGTCCAATAATTGCTAGTCCTTGATACTGGGGTGTTGCGCCTGGTACACCCAGTTACCCCTATTCCTCGTCACCAACACCTCCCTCATATAATTTTCACCCAACGGACTGCAAGCGAGAATGGCTGATCGTCGCATCTTGTGTGCCCCAGGAGATTTCATCTTGCGATTACCAACCTCATATTTTGCACTTGGTCCTTCCTTTACGTCCTCTGCCTCTACTACTATCATTACGCCAGCCATCGAGATCCCACCTCTTATTTTTTCGACCCCTCTCGTGCCTACGAGCGGCGATATTCGTCCATCAGAATCGAGGAGGCAGAGGAGTTTCAAAGAGATACTGGTAGCATCAATAAACCAATAAGACCGCACAACTGGACCCCTACTATATGTCTTGGAATAGCAACTGTCGCTCTCGTAGAGAGCAATATACGGGCTTAACAGTGGCCTCTCTCCTGGCCGGTCTTAGCAAAACAGAGAGGAAGAGCATTTATCTGAACATTCTCATCGGTAACACAGATCCGTCAAAACATCCGATTTACTCAGAGAAGTGGCTTAGCACGTTGCCAGACCGCTTGCTGACGTACAAAGAAGATGATCCAGATTTTGAGCGTATAAAAGACTGGGAGGAAGGTGGATGGTATCGAAACAAAACGATTTACGACTATACTCATTTGTTGAAAGACTGTTACGACACTGGCGCTGATTACGTGGCGATGATTGAAGATGATACTCTGGCGGTGAAGGGCTGGCTCGTCCGCTTTACAGGCTCTCGAAGTTGTGGAAGAACGGAACATGAATAAGAAATGGATATATATGCGACTCTTTTATGTCGATGAGCTTCTTGGATGGAATTCAGAAGAGTGGCCGGCATACCTGGCCTGGTCGTTCATGGTCTGGGCTCTGCTTACGGGCACGATGGTTGCCTCCAAAACAGTATTCAGGACCAAACTGAAGACTATTCCAACCAACGCTATTTTGATCACATCCTGCATTTTCATCCCCGCTGCCATTGCGCTCCATTTTATGGCGGGAAGACAGACAATGTGGCCCATAACCCGTGGCGTCCATGAAATGAACAAATATGGGTGCTGCTCGCAGGGCCTCGTCTTTCCTCGTTCCATCATACCTGAGTTCCTTGAGCAGACGGACCTGACGACCGATTGGCTGGTAGACATGATGGTGGAGAAGATAGCGGATCGTGAGGGCTGGACGCGCTGGGCAGTGATCCCGTCCTTACTGCAGCATATTGGAGCTACCAGTTCCAAAGGATATGGGTTCGATGACTCGGCGAAAACTCTTTGGAATTTTAGATTCGAGGAATATCCCTATTAGTCACTGTTCTGGACCGCAGAAATATTTTCTTACCTTTTGTAGTTACATAGCGTTGATTCAACAATCCACTCGCCAGACCAAGACGCATCCCAAAACAGATATGCCCAAAGACAAAGTCGGGGAAGAAGTCAAAAGCTAGCTAGGGGTATTGTATGATGGCGTGGAAAAGCCAAACCACTGGAACTATACCACCTACAGCTGATGAAGCAAAGCGTGTACCAAATCCGACTTGCACAACGCACGCCAATGTCAGTGTGCAGATGAGGTCACATGCCTCATTTTTCCTTTTCTCTTGTATAGTTTCAGGTGGCTAGTTCCTCTCTTCTCTTCCCTGTATATCTCATTACTTCATGATCCCATTCACTCATGGATCCCCTCTTAAAATCCAATTTCTAACTGCCCAGGGCTGAGCTTCGCTCCTGTTAGGACAATCCCCTGAGGGGTTTCCTAGTACGATATGGATACGAGTGAAGAATGTGAGATGTGCCTGATATGGGTATGATGATATTCAGACTAATCGCTGGTCCTCCTAAGAGGATCCTGAGCTGATGGGGAAAAAAAAAGAACAATTACTGGGTTCGCCGGGCCATGAAGTATGTCAAAAGATTAAGGGATCCTTCACGAGGAGGTTGAGTGACTTTTTGCACTCGCTCGGGCCCGAATGTAATGTTCAAGAATGTGCAGAGCTCAGTGGCATTCTTTCTGACCCCAGGGCGCGGGTGCCCGAGCTGTTGCATCACCACAGCTCCAATGCGAGCCAGAAGCTCGTCGTCGATATCGATACCGGGACGCGATAGCGACTGTTGAATAGTACTGAGGCCCATGATGGTGGAACGGTATGTCTCATCATTCTCTGCATCTGCTCCAAGATCTAGTCCCTGCAGAACACCGACAATTGCCGTCTGGGGCAAAGTTAAAAACACCAGTTTGTCTACAACTTCTTCTAAGCAAGTGACAAAGTGGGAAGTGGACTCGTAGTGGCAGCGGGCCCTGATAATAGCTGCCATAGCACGAGTGTCATAGGGGTGGAAATGTTCGCGGGTTCGTAGGAGCATGGAACGAATAGTGGCCAAAACCTGAGTTTTTACGTCATGATCCTTGCGGTTGGAAGGCGTCGCTTCCAGTTCCACAAATAGAGCCTCCAGCAACGTATTGTAGTCCTGGCTTTGGGAAACAATCTCATCGCCGTGGTATTGGATAAGTCCCTGTAGTTTCCTATATCCCGAGGGCTCCATGGTTCTCGACACAATACGTGCCAGGCCTTTATGGATCATTTCTTGGGCATTAGCCGGGTCCTTCGAACGCGGGCTAGGGCTGCGGTGACGATCTACCCATTTTCGAGTGCGTCGTGTGGAATCTTCAGACATTGATGATTGGGACAACGTCGACTGGGAGAGTGATGGTGGTATCGACTCAAATGACCTCTGTCTCGCTTCTGGCGAACGCGGTGTAGCTTCGTTTGCCGTCACTTCTTCGAGGACACTCGGCTTAGCTGGAGACCGCGGGACAGCGGGCAAGTCTACAGTCTTGGCCAGGTGTGGAGTCGCATTCTCATTGTTGCCACCGGCCTCGTTCGTTCCTGCATGATGCTCTTGGGGAAGCACGGCCTCAATATCCATGATATTAGAGGCCAGTGGCTGGGCACGGCCCCTCGTAGGTGACGGGCTTGGTTGAAGTGGCGCCCGGCGGGTTGGAGAGGGAGTTCGAGCTTCTAAGTTCATAACAGATTCCTGCGTAGGAGCCAAATTAGGTGTGGGTTTCCTAGCGGAAGCGACCACCGATGCTGAGATATTTTCAGAGACAAGTTGAGCTTCTGCTCCGCCATGTTCGGATTGATCAGCGCGACTGGGGGAGGACTTTGAGGGGGTAAAATTGCCCACCGAGGCAGAGTACCCAGGAGTCTCATTTTTGTCCGCGATGGGCGTTGTAGGATCTTCGTAAATCACCATTGATTCATGCAGGGGTTTGACGGCAGATACGGGACCAGAACCAAAATCCAGATCTGAATGCTGAGCCGGAGACACGGGCACAGGAGACCCTGCAAGATCTGGTTCCGGGATATAAGGTGAAGGTGCGGCAATAACAGGTTCCTCCAGTGTCATTGGTTCTGGTTCTTCAACAGGAACCGAGTCGGCGTGAGGACCATGCGGTGCTGAGTACAGAAGAGGCTGTGGTGCATCAAGCGGAGGACTTTCCAATAGGATAGATGCAGGGGAATGTTTGTCCTCGGGTGCACTGGGGTAAATTCCATTACGGGGTGTTCTTGCAGATGGCTGATTGGCCAGACTTTCATTCGAGTCACTGCGAGCACGACTCGCGGCCATGAGATCGCTGTGCGACTTGGACTTGGACAAATCGAGTCTCTTCGGCCTGCCATTAGTTGTAGCAGCTTGTGCCGATTCATTTGGCCGAGTGCGAGGCGCGTTTAGAGGGGCCCTTGACGTAGGTGTTGACGGTTTGGACCTCATAGCCCTGGGGGAAGTTGTCGCTTGTCGGGTAGATT